CCACGATATCCTGGCTTCGGCTGGGCTTGAAATAACCCTTTTGCTGTCCTCCGCTCTTTGCATCAGTGGCTTCCTAGATTCGGGCGAGGGCATGTATGTGTGGAGCTAAAGCCGTGCATGTGTTGCTATTTTGTGTGAGTCATCTAGCTGCTGACACGATGACTGTTGGATCTTGGGAGTGTACGATTATCAAATTGGGAGATGCAGCATACCACGATATCCTGGCTTCGGCTGGGCTTGAAATAACCCTTTTGCTGTCCTCCGCTCTTTGCATCAGTGGCTTCCTAGATTCGAGTAAGGGCATTTGTGTAGCTGAGATGTGTGTCTACGTGAAAGATCATGTGGAGAGAGTCGTATTGGCATTCGCATCAAGCGCATTGCGCATTTTTCGAATTTTGGCCCCCTTCCAGGGACCTTGATTTTTACCCGCTGGCACTGACGTCTTTTAATTGGTCAGCCGGTTAGCGCGGTCGATGCTAATAATTAAAACACACACACATACACCAGCTAGACGACCCAACCGGGGTCACGTGGGAGGGGGGGGTTGGACTCCCTCCTGCGGTCCCTGCCTTAGATATTTTTATCGCGAGAAGGGTACAGCAATTCCTTCCCTCGCGACTTCAGAAGTCGATCAAGTTTACTAACAAGGAGCTTTGCAGCGCATGGCTTCTCACGGAGACCAGGATTTAGACTAATTAGCGAGAAAAAACTCACTCTGTCGGTACTCGAACCCATGACCTGGCCTTTAGAAGGCTGCGAGGCTACCCACTACTAGTAGACCACCGGGGCGACCGATATTGTACTCTGCTGTTGATAGCACGCAGCGATACAGCTCGGGATGATGGGCCAACTTGGGAAGCGGGCGAAACAGGCAACGCAAGGCCATTGCTTAAGTAGTGTGCATACACGCGTTGCTCAGGGATTTCGAAAGGAGTTCCGATCCGTTCTTTCAGCCGCTACACCCAAATACACGCCCGAGAGTATTTGGAACACCCGCAGCTGCAGACCCTGTGAAAGAGTGGAAAGTGGGTTGGGAGGGAGGAGCCTTGGTCACACTTTGATAGCAACTCTTTGGGACTAACCGATGTTGAACGTAGCAAGGCTAGGTTCTTCATGCGAGCAAGGCTAGGTGCTCACCCCACATCTACCCTAACCCTTACCCTCACCCAGGGCCAAAGCACGGCCTAGCGGCCGCGAACTGGGCGTCACGCGGCTGCGCCACGTGCTCGCAATGCGGAATGGGGAGAGGGCGCTGGAGAGGAACCGGTCGCCAGAACCATCGCCAAACAATGTCCAACCAATCAGAACGCGTTAGTCCTAAAGATCTACTATCAACGTGTAGACAAAACTCGTTGGGAGGTTGGGACACGGTCACCTCTCGGCAGCGCCTGTTCCGTGGCACACTTGAACATACCTAGATGACCCCGCGGAGTAGCAGGGAATAAGTGCTGGTAATTGCTCAAGAACACACCTCCTCGCCGCCCTCGCCTCCCCGGGGAACGGTTGTGCGAATTTTGTTTCGGACAACCGGTGGGACAACACGCCGCAGCGTACAGCGGTTACCAAACCACTGCTGTTGCCATGGCGGACAGTCCTACCTCCCGGGCAACGGTGGTCACCGGCAATTTTCCTCAGGTAGGTGCCCCATCAACTGCAAGCCTTTCTCGGTTCAACCCTAGCCGAAAAATGTGTACCCAAGGTGCAAGTAGGAGGAGCACATCATACTTCTACGCGGGTTGCGGCGGGATGCGGTTGTTTGTGTTTCTGACGTCATGATGACGACACGTCACCACCCTGTCACCCTGTGAGGGCCGAAATGACGGACAACGGTATACCGGGAACGTTTGGGTGGCAGAAAAACGCTACACGGAAAATCGACTCAGGGATTTGAACTCGAATCCCCACGCTGATTGGTTAAGATCACCCCTTGGTGTTTTTTTTTCTGGCGACTCAAGGCGGAGAGTTCGGCGACCAGGCTTCCCGAGTTTTCACCCTCTCCTGTCGCCCTCGGTCGCAATACTGACTTACACTTGATGATGCAACTGCCAGACCTCTCGACGATCATGTGCAGGATGATGTCAACCAGAAACTCGCATCCAAGTCCACCATGACAGCAGATCCAACTCAATCATCACGTGTGTGTGCCAAGCGCCAAGATCCTAAACGCCTAGACTACAAGTCTTGCAACACACCGAGACCTCTTGACTTGTTTCTCTTCGGCGCTCCGACTATCTCGCCCTGGGCAACGCAATGAAAGCCGTAAAAAACACCCCGCCATCGCCGCCGCCGTACGCGCGCCGTGCTCCGGCATCGGCTAGTCCCGTCCCTTTATGCACCAACGAATCAATTCTCCCCCTGTCGTAGAATCATACACACACACCGAGAAGTCCAGTCGGTTCAATGCATACAGCAGTAGAAAACACGCACTCGATGGACCGGGACGGAAATAACACAGAATTACAAGGTCCCCCTTCGGGACGTTGGTATCAGGCCCCCCGGGGGTGACGCAAGTAGGAAAGGAAGTAGTGAAGTCATGGATGAAACTGCAAAGTTCGGTAGTGCTCGCCCCCGTACAAAACATCGCATGTATCATGGGACGGAGGAGGTGGAAAGGGTTGGCCGACGAGGGTAACTCTTATGTTAAGGTTGTATAACTGTTGGGCAGCTGCAATCTCGACGTGGGTTGCGTAGGCAGTTGGAACCGACATGAGTTGGAGGTACTCCGGAACATTTTGGTAGGTTTGTTGAGGTTGACCAGCTATTTGAATATTCTCTGAATTTATTCCAACAAATATGGAGTCGAAGAAGGTGTTTCCTCCAGAATTTGGGATGGGGTTGTGGAGGTTGTCGTTGATGTGGTCGATGAGTTGCGTTCTGACTAAGTGGTGCATGTTGTGGTCGTTGAAAACTCGACGGGCAATGCATCGTAGGAGGCATGCTCCATCACCGATTTCGTTGACAATTTGCCAAGATCCTTGGTTATTGCTGTTCTCGTTGTTGCCGTTATTGTTGTTTTTGCCGGGGCTGGTCGTACCACCATTGCTATTGCCGTCATTGTTGGGTGTGGTGTTGTTGCCATTGTTGCATCCATTGCCTTGGCCATGACGAGGTAGATGAATGTCAAACGTTGGGGGAGGTTGACCAGTGGCTGCAACGATAAACTCAGAGAAGACGACGTTGTGTACGTGGGGGACGTCGTTGATGAGACGATCATTGTTGACGAGACATAGGATGTTGTCCCTGCATGTTGTGCGGCTGACGGCGACGTACAATTGACCGTGGCAGAAGACGTCTCCTCTGAGATCGAGGCCGACCCTTCTCAAAGTTTGTCCTCGAGACTTGTTTATTGTCATGGCGTAACACAACCTAACCGCGAATTGGTAACGGTGAAATATACCACGGGATCCTACTTTGACATCGAAGCAGATACGTGGTATTTTGACGATGGGCGATTCATCGGAGAGAACTTCGACGTCGATAACGCGCCTTGAAATTGCTCGAATTACACCACGCTTGCCATTGACGAGACCACAGTCAAAGTTGATGTTCCTGATAAAGAAGATCAATGATCTAACTTTGAGGTTGAGTTTGTGCGGTGGCGTGCCGGCGACTTTGATGCTATTGAGGTATTCGACGGAAACAACATCTGGCATGTTTTCGTCGTCTTTAATGATCTTGTCCGAACTAAGTTGTTCGTGCACACGTCCGGGCATTTTACGGAGGATGAAGTCATTGATCTGGTCAATGTTATCATTAGTAGATGCCAGAATGCCACGGTCGTTAAAGATATTGTGGTTGGCTTCTAAAAGATCGGGGTAGACTTTGTGGATGAGGTCTTCAAATTCCGTTGTTCCCGCAATAGAACATGTCGTTTCGGAACCATCTTCGTTTGTGACTGTGTGTTGCAATGGGATGGCGGCGGTACCGTCGTATAAGAGAACTGGTTCAATTTTACCTTCACCAACAGCTAAGACAGTTTTTGCGTAAAGGATATCACCTTTGTCTCTCATGCACTTGGCAAGGCGGAAGCGATGCACTTGTGACCATAAGTACGAAGACAGGAAGGCATGTGCTACAATTTCACTCTCAGTTCCGAAAGGTAGAACGGGAGCAACTTGACGCCAATCTCCGCTGAAAAGAATAGTTTTCCCTCCGAAGGGCAAGTCATTTTGACATAGATCTTGAAGAGTGGAGTGGAGGGCTTCTGGGGCAAACTTTGACTACATAACAATTTCATCCCAAATAATTAATGAGGCTTTCTTGAGAAAGTCGGCCCGCTCGGACTCAGCTGGAACGTTGCAAACGCTACCTTCTATGGCATCGTCTCCGAAAGGTAGTTTAAAGGTACTGTGGGCTGTGAGACCGCCGGGGAGGATAAGGGCAGAAAATGTTCTAGGCAACTGCACGTCCGAATCCCCGAATCTCAAAACACCCAACCGAGACGATTCATTTCTCCTTCCTCGCCGAGTATTCATCAACTTATTCGGCCGTTCAGACGTGGAAACTAGGATCTTCGCCCTGAAATCATGTACTTTGTAGTCGCCAAGAGGAGACCTGTCTCCTCAATGGACGAGTAACACTGCTCAGGAGAAGTCGATTTCGACTCCCGCGGGCAGTGCCTGGCGTGGCTTCTTGCTCTCCTTTTGGAGTGAAGCGCGGGCAGCTTTCTTCGCAGAAGTGGCCGATTTACGCTCGTCATTCGCGTCGTTGACTTTGTCCTCGAGCTCCCGACGGTGTTTCACGGCACAGCCCACGTCTAAGGGCTGGGTGGACTTGGCGATTAACTGGTCCGTGTCCAGTATGGTCGGGTCGGCACGTTTGCAGTCACGGCAGCGCTTGCCAACCTATATGCATTGCACGAGAAAAATGTGGAAGGGAAACAAGATGCGTTCTGCGTCAGCATGATATCGTTGCGCAGCAAATATAGTGTTACGAACATGACAAAGAGGACTGAAAATACTGGCGTGGAACACGAACAAAAATGTGTGCACAAACACTAGGAAGTAATAGAAGTAGGTCCTGCGTCAGCTTGAGTGTTTGCGCAGCAGCAAAGACAGGAACACATACTATACATAACGAACATGTGCGTGCACATATGTTCGGGCAGGAAATCTATGATGTTGTGTTCATGGCAGTGCGTACATCAACGGCAGGAGTTACAAACATGTTTCTTGCGTCAGCATTTTGTATTGCTGCAGCAGGAAGGACAGGGCGAACACTACATATAACCGAACATGTGCGCAATTCTACGGCAACGGGCGGGAACCAAAAAAAAATGGTGTGTACGCAATCTTCGAACGAAGATATATATGTGCCTTGCGTTGTCAGCGTTTGTCTGTGCGCAGCAAAAAGGAGGATCACATCTTACATACGGCAAAGGACGTTAGACACATGCCAAACAGGTACAGTGCGCATCTGGACGGGCGAGAACATGTATAAATGTTTGATGTTGGGTTGGGTCGGCAGGCAGACGGAAGGGGGTAGAGACGGGAAAGTAGGATTGTTTTGTGAAACAGAAATAAAAGGACTCACGTCGTCCTCGCCGGCCAGCCTAACGTTGACGGGGACGCCGTCCTCCTTGAGGACGATGCAGGCCTCCGCGTTGAGGCACCAGTTAATATAGCACGCCGGGCGTTCCACGTCTGTTTGATCACAAAAAGAGAAGTTGACAACATGCATACATACATAGTACGTGGAGGCGGAAAACTCGTCGGGGAAAACCTTATTTTTCTCGCAGTGTTTTGTTGAATAGATCTGTTCATTTTCTGAGTCACTCAACAGCACAGGGAGGGGCAAAGATTGCGCAACAACCTGACACGGCACAGCACAGCACAAAAAAAAGGTTGCTTGGTGGTTGTATGCTTTTCTTGTGACAGAAATCAGAAATGAATCGCGTAATTCCTACAACGTCGGCATATGATTCATACCCCATCACGAAGAACGCCGAAAAATGATCAAGAGCGCCGAAGGTTGTGTGGTGTGACCAGCTCTGTTGAACATGATGTTCGTCGGCAAAAATATGAATCGCGTTCATACATACAAACAACCACGAACATCAACGCGCGAACCCCAAGCCTGCTGCTGCAAATGATATCCTCCAAGCCTGCTGCTGCAGACAATGTCCGTGAAGGAAGACCATTCATTATGCTCTCACCTGGGATGGTGTATGCCCACACCACTTCGCCGACCTCGAACTCGGAGGCGCAGAGCCAGCAGACCTTTCCGGGGTACTTGATCAAAAGGCCGGTCCACGCGCAGGTTCCCGCGTTAAAGTTCCTGCAGGCGGGGTAGTCGGCCCTGTCTTTGCGGATGTTTTCCTTCAAGAAGAGGTTGGTGTTGCAACCGGTGCGTGGACAGAGGTATTGCAGCTCGCGGTCGGCCGGGACTTGCTCGGGCGAGCCGGCAGATGAGCCAGCTCTCGCAGATGAGCCTGGTCCGCGCGCGGGCGGCGGGGTAGAAGCAGCCGTAGGAGCAGCCGGCGGAGAGGATCCAGCGGTGGAGGACGATGGTTTGGTAGGGGGGCTGGAAGCTTGGCGGCTTTGGCGAGGCATGGATGTACGGTGTTTATTGCGTGAAAGCCGCTCTGGCGGTGTGAACCGTGATTTGTGATTAGNTGAGCCGTGATTTGTGATTCGATGGGGGGTGTAGATCGAGAAGACGGGAGGAGAGCCATCGTCAGAGCGCATCCCTCTCGGACAAAAGTCACGGTCAACGATCAGAGGAAGCCTCGTGGAAGACGGCTTTAGGTCCCTCGTAACGTTGCACGCTTCCTCGTGGCTCGGAGCGTTGGTCACATCGACATCGCCGAGAGACAATCTCTCCGAGGAGAACGTGGGGAACGTTCTCAAGGTTGTAGGATTTTTGCTTTTGGGACAAATTTTTCTTATTTCGTGTGAAATAGGATTTTTTCCTGTACATGTATAGACAAATAGTTCTATACATGACCACCCCCGAGAAGGAGTGCTGATGATCAGATGCGTACACCGCCAGTATGTGTGCTGGGAGCGTCGACATCGCTCCGAGAGACAATCTCTCCGAGGAGAACGTGGGGAACGTTCTCCAAGATTGTAGGATTTTGCTTTTGGAACAGATTGTCCTTATTGCGTGTTGAATCGGATTTTTTCCTGGACATGTAAAGATGCATAGTGCTATACATGACCAGCCCCGAGAAGGAGTGCTGATGCAGATGCGTACACGGCAGAGTATGTGTGAATAAAATGTTGCTGCTGTTGTGAATCCGTCTGTGCAAATTCTGTGACTGGCGTGACGTGTTCTTATCAACCATGGAATATCGATAAGGTCTGTGAACATGTGTCTTCCACACTACAATACAGTCGCAAACCGTTCAAAGCAGAGTCGCGGGCCCGAAGCTGTGGGTGAAGAAAACCACGTTACACAAAAACGTACGCACGCATGGACATACACTTCAGTGAAAAGGCTGCTATATGATGCTACACCAGATGCTACGCCAATCAGTAACCATCGAAATGATTCCAAACATTATGCGACCGTATTCTCTAAACTTGCGGGGGAAACGTCTCCTGGTATGCATCAGAGAGTTTTGGGGAATTGGTTCGGGAGGCACTGTCCTCGCGGAACGCGTCCCCTGGGTTTTGAGCCATTTTTCGCAACTTTGACGGTCAACTACACGCGCCACGGAGGTCTGCCGAGCTCCGGACACGGGCGATAATGTATAATGTACCGACGGGCCTCCTGCGTGCCCCTGAGAAGGGACCGCGAGCAAAGACTCGCTGGGGCGAGAGAAAGAAACGCCGAGGCATGAAAATTGACCAAATCTTATATGTACATATGTAGGCCCAAATAGCTATCACCATAGCAACTGAACCAGGTGTATCGGCACAGAGTTGAGATGTACGCAATGCATGCCAACTCCGGTGGTCACTGCTGTATACGTGGTGCTACTGGCTGGCTGTGTACTCCTCGCATGACGCTAGGTGCTGAGACGACCCTTGTTTGCGATGACGTTGGACCCTTCATTTCTTTGCGACGGCATACGTGACCGGGTTAGGCAGAAAAACTGGGAAAGCTGGCTCGAGAAGCCTTCGCGGTACTGTCCGCTTGAGCCACGTGATCCCGCTCGGTGGTCTTTGTCAAACATCATGGGGCCTTGGGGGTTATTTCCTGAGTCAACTCCTTTCGTTCAATTCCTTTCGTACGGTCTCGTGCCTCCGTATCATCCGGGCATACAGTGCGGTTTTTTGTTGATGACCCTAACCTTCCAACACCAAAGGCGGCGGCTCTGGTGCCACTTTGCAGTGGTTACGAATGGTTAACGCAGATCAATGTGCAGCTGGGAGCCCATGTACACCTTTTGTTTTTGGTCCGATGTCATTTGACGTTGTTCTTTCGCCCCACCGCTTCGTTTCGCTTTGGTGTTGGGCATGTCGTGGCGGAACATGGCTGTAACGATGTTGGCAACAGGGCGATGAGTACATGGTCAACACCCGTGACGAGGTATTGCACCTTCGCACGTACGCGCCGGCGGACGGGGAAGAGATCAAGGCCCTACTTTTATTCATCCACGGGTACGATGAGTGCGAAGGACGGATTGGCGACGATTGTTTCGTTGACCATCTACTTGGTGTGGGCCGCAATAAATTGCATACACACCCATCTAGGAGATTGGGACGACGGGCGTGCTTGCCTTCCCGTGGAGCCGCAATGTGCTATCTTCTCTGTTATTTGTTTTTACAAATGATCGGGGCAACAGCACTGTGGGTACGAGGGAGGGTAGACGATGAATGTTTGCGAAGTTTCCTGTCGGGGCTGGGTGCATGTGCTGCGCCTGATGACCCTATCTCATCGTCATCCCACCGCCAACGGCAACACAGGTACGGTGGCCACGTCAACTCCCCCCCCAAGGTGAAGCTTGGAAAGGCAATGGTTCCCCTGGGGATAGCCAACGTGCAACTCGACCTGCCCGGACACGGGTACTCGGAAGGCGAACGCGCGTATGCCACTCACTACTCGCATTGGGTGGACGACATTTTCCAGGTACCATTGGCCCTTTCCTCGAACTTGTTCCCGTCGCTCGCAGTGGCTGATACTCACTACCATGTATTGCCATGTGGCACTCTGGGATCGCTTGTCGTTTGAGGCTTTTTCGATATACGTTCGCAAAAGTGAAAACCGAACAATTGGGAGCTGGCGTTATCAAGACGTTGCTTTGCTGCATAATGCGGTGTGAGAACGGCATACTCAGAGCCAAAACCGCAGAACATGGCGCACCGCGCCTATCATGGTCACCTGTGGTGGTCGCTAACGTACGCCTACCTTGAGCGCAATCGTCAGTACGGTATAAGCCTAAGCCCCAACATTCATGGGCCCACACGCTGTCGCGGCCTTCCTGCCCACCGTTCCGCTGTCGCCTATACGAAGAGAGCTTTTCCAAGGTTTAGATTTTGACAAACTTTTGACGGTTGCGACGTTCGCGTGCAAAACTCCCCCCATCATCACACCGCTCATGTCTGCGACGGCCAAGGCGTGACCTCGCAGTTCACTCTGTCGCTGTTCACACTCGCCCTGCCGCCATTTAGTTCTCTTGCTCAGCTCTCTACTAAAGCATGCGTACTCGGTGAGCGAAGCAACCCCGTATTCCGCCCGAATACAGACTCCTGGTCCCAAAACAACAATTATGCTAATGATTCATGGCCGTTGACACTGCCCCGGCCGTTGGAGTAGGACTTAACAGTGCTCCGTCTCGGTTGATGTGTGTCCTCGTTTGGAAATGTGCAGTGGGCGAGCCGACATGACTGCGCCCCCCTCATTCCTCCGTTAGTGTCCTTTCTACCACGAGCGCCCACGATTACGCACGTGACCTCGTCCCCACACTGCTGCTTGGACGCAACGGCCGTTTTCAGCTGCTTGAGGCGATCGCGGGAGGCGGCTTCACGTCTCCCGCGGCGGGAAAGTTCGCCCTTTCCAAGTTACAGCTCGAGCAACTCAAGACTGTGAGAATTGCGTGTTTTGGGTGCATCTTTGGTTTGAACATGTGCGAGTGATAGAATGCCTTTGCTGTGGCATCAGACATTGTCGAGGTTGAGAGGCTCTTCGTCCGTTCTTGCGGTCCACCTATTGTTCTGTACCACGCCGTTATGCTCGCTGGCTTGTTTTCGGCGTTTCCATTGGTGCGGTATTGTTGGGCACTTTGTTTCACATGGTTCGGAGGAGAACTAAGGGGGAGAGGGAAAATGGTTCAGCTGTGCTGTGGGCAAGGCCGCATTCGCGTGAGGCTTTCCAGACAGGCGAAATACCCGGATCCGCAAGGGGGACCCGGGCTAGCCGGGGCTAGGCCCGGGGTTTATTTCGGACACCCCGTCCCCCCGGGTGTTTACCATCGGGGTTGGTTTTTTGTCGATTGGCAACGACGTTGTAAAACAAGCCGCCCCCCCCCGGTGTTTGCCATCGGGGTTGGGTTTTCGTCGCTTGGCAACGACGTTGTAAAACAAGCCAATTCACTTCATGAACTCGGCAACCAGGTTACCGTTTGTTTTTTCTTTACCTTTGTTTTTTTTTTTGGCGGTAACCACGATGGTGATCGAGTAGATCATGTTGTGCGGGGTGGAGAACCCTCACTCCGCGCAAGGGGGATGATCGCACTACATTGTGTTAAAATGGTCAAGCACCCTCGAGACAGTTACACAGTGCTTGTAGCTGTCTCTGGAAGTGAAAGCACCAGAAAATAAATTAAATCATACGCAGCTGTCATCCGTACGCAAGGAAGTAAGCACAAGATGCCGAACACCCTTAGCAGGATGCAGCGCACCCTTCATGCGACTCGCCGAATATCTCACGGCGCTTCGCGCTTGGTGATGTGAGAGCCTGGTCCGGTGAGAACCCGGCGTGCTCCGTCCCGGCTTTGTAGGGATGCGAGGTCAATGGTCTAACGACCACGGCATGCACGACTATGAGTACACCCGTCCACCTCGCAATGTACTTGGGAGTGTGGTGGTGAAGGCTGAGTGAGGGCAGGTGGACTCTGCATCTGACCCCTAGCATCGCCGTAATATCAAGAGGCTGGTTCGACCGCCGTTTCCGCATGCCCAAGCGACAATAATGAGGTGTGGTCTTTCGGGAAAAACCTACCACAGATTACAGCCTTTTGGATACAAACTACCACATATAAAAGTAAAATTTCGAATGAAAAATGCAACGGACAAGATGAACAGCACCCGTGTTGCACGTTGAAAAACAGGAAATGAAGCAAACGGTTGCCTACGTGGCCCCTTCCCTCCCACCCGTCTGTGTTGAACTTTGCGAAGGTGCCGATATTCTTGTCGGGAGAGTCGCTCGGGGGTGGGCTTTGCTTGTTCACGGGCTTGACGCTTTACGACCGACAGGTGAGATGGGAACGCTCTGGTGGACGAACGTTCGTGCGATCTATGTTGACCACCTGCAATGTTCTGCATGTGCTGTCTGCGTTCACTTATTTTTTTATCTCTCTCTTACCCGCGTGCCTAACTTGGTGTCATTGCTCAAGCCAAATCTCGACTTCCTTCCTGCTTTGTAGTTTGTGACTTGATGGAAGATGTTTCACTTGGGATTTATCCAACGCAACGTAAGCGCATTGCAGTGACGCTATTGACGCACGCACTTCGTAACGCTTTGGGGATCCCCGCATAGGAGTCGGCATGGATGGATGCCAGGTCGGTGGTCGAATTCATACGGCGCGGATGATCATCGACGCACGCCCTCCTCCCGGTCCCACCCTCGCGTCCCTGTCTGCTTCATGTCTTCCTTGTCGGGATGTGCCACCGCTAGCACGCCTTGTTGCCGCGATTCAAGGGAGTCTGCCTGATTGCTCCGGCAATCCAGGGTAACCCCCCCCCTGCCCCGGTGGTGGCGTTTCTGCGATACTTGGTGGCCCCCGTCATCCCCAAGTGGCAGATACCCAACGCGCTTGAGTCAGGTGCGAATTCGTGTCGAATGACTGCCTCCGCATTTACCAGGTGGCGGTGGTAGCGGGGGGGGTGATGACAGTTTTTCACCCCATTGATGGCGCTTTAGGCTGCAACCTGATTTCGTTTCTTCCACGAGTGATAAGAGTGGAAGCGGGAGGGACCCGTTACCGTTGCTGTAGCTGCTGATTTATCCTTGACTGACGCAACCCGAGCATGTACTACATGGCCATGCGTCCATTCTTCATCAGATATTTGAGTGACCCTATCCTACCTTTCTTCCGCAGCTTGCTGCGATTCTTTTCTTCTCACGCCTCGGCCATGTCACTATATTTCCGTCTCCAGATACGTCTGCCTGGTTGGGTTCATATGTCAACCGGTTCTTCCTGGGAATGGGAGAGTGTTGATACACAGGATATGTCCGTGAACGAAAAAACTCATGACTGCAACTCCATGACCACGTCATGCTTGACTCTCCGAATTTCTTCCGATGCAGTAAGAAACCCCATGGAAGTTTGGAAAACCGAAGAAGACCGAGCAAAGGCGGACCGAGATCAGTGGGGAAACCCGGGTGAGCGAAATAGAGCCAAAAAGATCTCGGGAGACCAGGCGGCGGAAGGTTCAGTTTTCGATCTAGCCGTGACTGGCGGCAGACAGCATCATGTTTGAATATTGTACTCGGGCGAGAGAGAACGTGGCTCTTGCGGCTGTGGTTTGAATGCTCTTCCTTGTCTTGTTTGCCGCCGGTTTGAAAGCCACCAATCGGAAAAAGTCGAGGATATGCTGCTAGACTTTAACCGTGTAGATAATTAGACCCTCACACCAACACGACCGAATGAAAGCCCACATTTGGCCTGAGTTTGTTACCGCGGATCTCGATTCCTGTTTGTTGTTTCTTGTCGACCCTCTTGTTGTTTTTCGTGTCTTTCGGCGCTCTTTTAACATGCTGGTATAGTGCTGACTGGCCATGCCATTCCCTTAAGGCAAACCCACCCGTAGATGATGCTCTACAAATGCCCTCTTTGCCAATCGCACTTTGTAGGAGCGCTCGGGTGGGGGCACAACATGAAGTTCAACATGGGCCTCAACATGATGGACATGGTCGGCGTTGTATACAGCCGCCTTTCGGACGTAAAGTTCCCGTTCCTCATTATGCACGACCCCGGAGACGGTGAGATGTTCTGCGAACAATTTCAGCTGAACAATATTGTGTCAGGTCAATGGCGTTGTCATTGACTATAGCGCACCGTCGATGGCTCACGGTATCGCACTCCTGGACAGTTTTTGAGTCTGATCTACGAGAAGCAGTCCTCTCTGTAGGGCTGTGGTACCAAGGGTAACGCACTGACTTGACCTGAGGGAAATATTACAGTTTGGGCGCAGTTGATGCCTGAGAAAAAAATAGCTGCCCCATGTCGTATTCTCTAGAATTTATCGTCCCCCAAACGCACTACCCGAGCTATGGGCCTCGACTGAATTCATATCTAAGCGCATTGCAACGTTTTCTCAAGAGTATCGTTTGAGAATGTCCTTGGGCAGCAGCTCCTCTCCACTGCCTCGCATGGCAGTGTGTTCGGCCTGGTTGCGTTCTGCGCATGCAACGACAAGCAAACGTCACGATTTTTGAAGCTATTTCCGTACGCAGGATATCATTTCCAAGTAGCTCAAATGCGCCTCACACACCTATCCTGGTTGGACGCGATTCGCCGAACACCTCACTGCGCTTCGCGCATGGCTCTTTGCAAAAACCCCATGATGGGCTCTCTCTCAGCGTCAGGAGGGCGTCTGGACTTTGGGCCGAATGAATCGATTGGGAAGATTCGTATCTATTTTGCATGCAACCGTGCCTGTCGAAATGCACCCGTCGTCAAAAGGAATTAACCGAACACCAATAAGTAACAAGTGAGTGCGAACCCCACCCAACCCTGCCTATCCCGGGTGAACATGCCGTGCCCCTCACGGAAATGTATGTTATCCCGGGCGTTGGAATGTGCGTCATCGTACCTTCAGCTATTGTCCAGTTTGGTCCAGCGCGTGAGTTGATGGAGAAGGCAGCCACTCCAAAGGATGACCCAAGGTCCCGGTGAGCGAGAGCATTTATATTAAGCTTTCGGTTATTTGGAGGGCGAGCTTTCGTGGGTTGGTCGAGCTTGTTCTACAAAGTCCAATTTGTGCTTGTACGGCATCAGTCCACAGGTCCGAGCGAAGGCTGATGTGTTACCACAATCGATTCTAGGTTGAGCATTTATTTGGTGTTTACAGTAGACTGCCAACCTGGGAGCGTGGGTCGGGGTATTATGCATGAATACGTGCACAGCACCGAAGTCGCGGCGGTGGCCCATCATCGCCCCGTTTTTATTCCGTCGCTCATATTACGGCCCGCACCGACATGCCTATGATACACATTTTTGCACAGGGAGCTCAAAGAGATGGACGGCTGGCTGCACGACCTCCTCACCAACTGCCCGGACCTGATCATCGGACACTTGACGAACTGGATTGCCTACCAGATAGCCCGCGCGTAACCCCTGCCGCGCTCCACCCCCCTCGGCACACGGGAGTGACGGGGTCCGAACCTTCAACACGGTCGGGACGGTCGGCAGGCCATCTATCGCCGTTTCGTCTACATGTCATCCGAGGTTGGGCTCTAGACAGTTCGCTGTAAGACACTCCCTCGGTGATTCGTACATTTTGGGATAATTCTTCGTGTTGGATGGATGGGGTTCCGGGACATCACCGGTTGCTCCAACACCTCGAAGGATCTGGTTGCTTATCAGACGGGACAACCGCGCTTTGTGTTGGTATGCAGCAGGAGATCTATGGGTTAGAACCCGTTGCATCGGACCTCAATCAGCGACATTGATCCGCACGCTATTTGGCGATTGCGTACATCGAGGGTGCGTGTTACCGTTTTTCGACGTGCACCAGTCCCGGAAAAGTAGGCATCGACACTTGGAGGTATTGCACCAAATCATTTCTCACTTTCGCGCCCGCCTAATGAAGAAGACGTCCACACACGCTCTTCGTAAAGGCTGCTCTTCTTGCGGGTGTGTATGGGATCAGACGCTCGTTGAAATCAACGTTTCAGCCGCACATGTTAGCCACCCGCACGGGGGGGTAGGCATCGCATTTCCTAGACGGGCCATCGAGAAAACTCTGACGTGCCTGTATTTTGGTACCGTTGTTTTGTTGTGAAGAGTGGGCAGGTGACGTGCCGCGCTCACTGTCCTTGTTGCTTGTGTTGTGATATCTTTGTTGTGTACCCAGTGTAACTTGTGTGTCCGAGTTGCCCTAAACCGAAAGCCTTGTACGGGCAGCCACCACACGAGATGGTACATGTTGTGTTAGACAACAGAGGTTGCTGTTTGTTCGCGTGATGCGATAAACATAAGCCGAGCGGGTTTGTTGCCACGTGTGAACCCAAACTCAGCAAGATTTGGGACGTGCCGATCTAGATCACTAGGTTAAACTCATCTTCGGAACACCGTGGATAAATATGCATTCCTCGCTAAAGAAGCAGATTGTCACATCGAGAATCTTCGCCCAGTTTTCTTTTTTTCCAAGATATTGATCGGTGTTTCCGACAAGGATGCCGGTATCGAGACCAATTGCCCTCCTCGCTTGTGGGGAAGATTTCTCGTGTCGAGCGTTAACTCGGTAGTTGTTGCATCGTTTGCAAAGCTTGTGAACGAAGTGCAGTCAGCCACCGGGTGAAGTGCTTCTCGTGTTCCCACCTAACATGACGCGTATTGTTTGTGACAAAATAGCGCGAAAAGCTATCGCTCCCTCACACGTCAATTTGGAACAATACCTCACCTATCCAACTAACGAGTGATGTTAAGCATGCTGACCTTGAGTGCAGCTGGAAAATGACTCATACATTTGTTGAGGGTAGGCACCATTCCACGGTAGTACCTCCGGATACCACCACACAGGTACGGCTTTCCATTCGCTTGAAGCGCACGGCCAGGTCCAGAGGCCACTTACAAGTCACGTCCGAAAGGTGAATGATAGGTTGTTCAGCTGTGGCTTTGCAACGGACGTCAATGTGTTGAAGAAATGTTACAGACAGCAGAGAGGGTCCCATGCTTCACCTTCACCTAGTGCTGCTCCCCCGACGTCCCAGGGTCCCTGAGAGTACGGACCCATGCGAAGTATCTCCTAAGGACCTCTACAAAAGGTTCTCGAAGAGGTGAATTAGTTTCATCTTCGTGTGGAGAGGCCTTAAATTCGTGTAAAAGGGCGAAAGCCTTTTAATGGAGGGATCAGAGACAACGGCTAGAGGGTAAAGACGGCCGGACCGCTCCACCCGCTGTCATCGCTAATGCCCAGTACTCCTTTGACGAGGATGATATTGCCGTACTTGGCTGTCTCCCCGGTGGCCACGATCGCGTAGCACGAACGCGCGCGCTCGTAAAAGGCGAAGCGCTCCACGCGCTCGACCTTGAACATGCCGGGCTGCCGCCGAAGATGTGGACACCAACAGGAAATAGGGACGGAGCAGCAGTCAATTATTGGTTGACGCAGGGACAAAAACAGACCCTCGGCGACGTTGCTTCCGCAGAGTGATCGATGGAGATTGTCGGCACTTATAGGTATTATTAACGACCAAAAAATCACGGAAAATTTCACAGAAGCGTGTTTTCTTCAACATGTATGGAGGCGTTTTCCCCCGAAAACGTGAAAAGGAGCCGGGATTTTTTGGGGCTTGCTACTTTCACGGATCCGTGTTTTTGACAGAAGCATCGGACAAGCGCAACGCGGGCGCTGCAACATCACTGAGAACGCTGGAAAGACCTGCCAGACTCACGTCCAGGTCTGTTGAGATGGACAAGCGGCAGAAGCGGCGTTCAGTCCGTTCTTGGTCCAAAACTAGACATCGCGTGGTGCTCTCGTCTTCAACTGCTGCTGCTGGTGCTAGGGATTTTTTTTCAATCGCACATGGCAAACACGGAAACAGTACAACGAGTACAGCAGCATCACCAAGACCTCCAACGCGCTGATTCCTTCGGTTCGGCTGTCTATATGATACCATCTCCCGGCGCCGTGCTGCTTCGTGGGTATTAGGTGCTTGGGTGCTGCTCAACAAGGTGTGTGAGAGACGTGTGCCACCTCACCAAAATGCCGTTGGAAAAAATGTGGCGAGATGATCTGTTTTTGGTCGGACACGTCAACGTCAATCCACGGCACCACGCAGCAGAAGAGCAACAGGGCCTCCGACACGCTAGTTCTTTCGGATTGGCCATCTATATGATGCTGGCCGTCAGCGCGGCTGCCGCCCTCTGATTGTTGAGCTCGTCTACCTTTGGGCAGGTGGTGGTCAAAGATGGGAGTCGCAACCGTGAAAAATGAGCTGGCAAACTGAAGGAATCGGAAGCAACACCCAGGTTGCGACTCTCTGCCCTGCGCCTGTTGTTGCTGAAAACTGAAAACAGCAGGCCGGGTGGATAGGATCTTTTTAAGTGTGTTGGCCTCCGTGTCGGTTGCTGCTCATTGCGCTTTTAGCGCTGCTCTATGGTGAGCAACACCAAGTCTATTCGATATACTCGTAGCATAGCATGCGGGTGGTATATTGCGTATACATATGCTGGTATTGCAGTGACGAACTACGGAGGAACAAGAAGTTTCTTTATGTTTTCCTTGGGAGTGTGGTAGATTGGTGGACATTCATGGAGATTCGTTTTGGGTGTTTGAGCGTTATGGGTGACTTGATGCCGTGATGGAATGACGAGCTCAAGCACGCCCCCGATGAATACAACACGTTTACAACACGTTTTCCAACACGTCTGTACGACTTTACCTACCCCTACGGCCCGTCATGGCCGAGCTGCTCTACACTCCCATCACACACAACTGAGCCACCCGAATTATCGATCAAAGTCAACCTGTTGTGTGCCGAGCAAAGCGTGTATTCAGGGAAAGCAACGTACTTCTTCTTGCGATGACATCACGAATTTAACAAGCGAAAAAAGTCGGGTTCTCTTTTCACCGTTCCGTGGAAAATTGCACGACTTTTCCGTTGCGTTAATAACGAGCCTTATACCCACCACACACAGTAGTTCCACGAAAAGCAGACAACGAAGCCAAGGAAACGAGCAGGGTGGCATTCGTTCTCTTGCTTCACTTCGGCTACCTACTCCTGCGCACCGGCTCCAACATTTCGCTGTCATCGACGACAAATGCCGTAGTCACGAAAAACAACTGCACCAGAATCTGGAAACAGACTCACCTGCTCCGCCTCGACGGCGGTGCTAAATCTCTCCTCTATTGACGCGTCGAGCTCGTCTCCTGGCACCGCCGCCATCATCTGCACGGGGAACTCCGTATACGTGTCTAGCGGGAACAGCTTCGAAACGGCACGTAGAAGCGGAGCGACCTCGTGACCGTCAGCACGGACCGTGATCGGCCCAGGCTTCCCGGGAGATGTCAGGTTCTCCGAGGGAAAGTTTGCGTCGGCGAAGCAGATGGAGTCGCCGTGTCCCATACTGCATGTACGTTTCAGCGTAGAACCGCAGGGGGGGGGAATTACGAAAGTTCGCCATGTCGGACCTGAGTTGCTGGCATTCATGGGGATATCTTTTATCTGGAAATAGAGGGAGCCAGCCCAACGAGGGGGCTATCTATTCGTCCCATCTATTCAGGCGCCGGTGTACAGGCCTTTCGGCGTTCAAATACCGTGTATGACACAAGATAACACACCCCATTGACCGATTTCCGAAGCTCGATTTCTCAACTGCAGGAACAGTTACAGCGCCGAAAACGGCGGCGTTGAACCCATCTTGTCGAGAGCTTTCCGAAAATGTATCGTTTCGTTAGTTCATCCTCTTCGTCGTGGAGTAGTCGAGCTTTGAAAATCGGTCAGGGGGTGTGTTATTTTGTGTCATATACGGTATACGTGACGTATCAGCCGGGGTCGCACAAGAGGAAGGTCCCACGGGAGCTTTTTTCATTTTTTCATTTTTGTTGTCGTATTGACCCACCTTATCTTTCCCCCTGCGGTGCTTGCCTTACATAGTTTATATCGCAAGAAGGGATAAATAAGTGATCCCTTTCCCTTGTCGACCGTGAACCCGAAGTTTGACTGCTTGCGACGTACTACTACACAGCGGTCGCCCCGGTGGTCTAGTGGGTAGCCTCGCAGCCTGCTAAGGGCCAGGTCATGGGTTCGAGTCCCGGCAGAGTTAGTTTTTTCGCGCTTTTCAAATCCTGGTCTCCGTTGAAAGCGACGCGCTGCAAAGCTCGTTGTTAGTAAACTTGATCGACTTCTGAAGTCGCGAGGGAAGGGATTGCTGTACCCTTCTCGCGATAAAAATATATCAGGCAGGAACCGCAGGAGGGGGTCCAATCCCCCCCTCCAATGTGACCCCGGTTGGGTCGTCTAGCTGGTAGAAGTGGAAGTGGAGGATAGGGGCCAGAGGGGCAGACGACAGAGACCAATGATGGGAGAAAAAAAAGAAAGTATTGTGTAGATCGCTTTCAACCCACCGGTTGCTGGAAACGTATCCCGGGAAAAAACTCCTGAAGAAGAAGAAGCGAACCCACAACCTGCTGCTAGAGAATGGATACGTCGGCTGCTGTAGACCATACACCTATTGGACAACCCAAACTTCGTCACAAATCAAAGAACACAGAATGCGCCCGTACTGGAAGCCCGAATGGGAACACTTTGGGGACACAAGTCTCAAATGCCTATTTTCTGCACTGCAGTCACCCTAGGCTCCGCTGTGTGCAACGCACGTGAGACCCTTGGTCTATTATGCTTGGCTGAGGTGGCACGCCGTGTGATACAGTATGCTGTGTGATGCCTCTCCTGAACCTCTGACTTGCCCTACACATCTATCTCCCAATCCGCGTCCCCCCTATAGTCTATCGTAAAACTGTACATTGCCTGGTACTGCAAAAAAATTGCGGACTTGGCTTCAGCATGAAAAGTGTCCCCACCTGCCCCCACGTGTTTTGGGGGCACTAGTCATACTGAAGCCAAGTCACCCTTTGTCTGGAAAGGAGCTCAGATTCTGGGAGGGACTGTGGCCCCTCGACCAATGGCTGACAAACATTTTTGCGACATGTTTTTTTTTGCGGAGGGACTGAGTACTACATGGGAGAGTTAAGAACCCCTGCAGTTTTCTTGGCCAAGAGGCTGAGGTTCTTAGTTCCTAGGGTCATCCTACGAATGGCCGCTATACAGGGTTCATGGTAGGGGATCGTAAACGAGTTCACAAATGGTGCTCAAGTGTTTACATTTTGATTGTATTGAGGCTCAATTTCCCAATCTCCCACAGCAGTACTGGCATTTTGCGAAACCGCCCTTGGGGCACCCACGGGCAGCCCATGGGCCCATGAGCACTTTCTGTAGTCTGATAGCGCAAACACAATATCGACAGGCCCCAGAACAGCAAGACTGTACCGGAAAAACTATTATTTGCCCTCATCATGCACACTTCTCACCGTGCCAGGGTAACCAGCAGATCGGGAGAGATTAGTGGAGAGATGCCGATAAGACCCATGGTCCGAGGTGTTCCGTGTTTGTTGCCTGGTGGATTCCGTTGCCTCTCACTTCCAATGTCTTTGGCTCGTTTCTCGACCTACTCCCTCGACGTTTAGCGGAGTTCAAGTCTATATCTGGTTTTTCTTTCTTCAGTACAGTCGTTGGTGCTACGAGCCGAATTCAAGATTCTCTGTTCTGACACCGAGGAAGCTCCCGCCTGTTGCTGGGCGCTGGAATCCCGCCGCCTGTGCTGGAATCCCGCCGCGCGCCGCTGCTCTGCGGGAATCCCGCCGCCTCTGCAAGTCTCTACGCAAAGACGCAAAGACGCAAACCCTGTGTCTGCAAATAATACGACGCATTCACAGCTAGGGGTCAAACGAGTGGGGAATGGATGGTGACACACTTGAAACCCGAGAGGTGCGATGAGGGCCGCAGACTGCCAAGCCAGTCTAACCAAGAATGATTTGACAGCTAATACAACACATGCCTTCAGCTCATCATGCGTACAGACTCTGTACGGGGAGGAGGAACAGCGTGCAAATTGGTGTAGACAACGTACTTCTTCACGTACCCGAACAGACTAGAGGTTACCAGGCCGGGGAAATTAGTTGCCATGTCGCTCGCGACACTGCTAACCCTAGTTTTGGACACGACATGGATTACTGCTGTAATATCAGCAAGTCGAGTGTCTGAGGTACTGAGCAATGTTGTTGGGTAAACCGGGTAGAACAAGGTTTTCGTGTGATTGAGAGCGAAGTTTCTGATTGAGAGCGAGATTGCGCGATGCGCTGTAGCTGGACTACCGCTGAGAGGTGGAGCTTGCTGCGTGACTTGAATTGAAGGCCTAGCCCGTAGCTACAAGCCGATACCCTGGTCATCATCCTGTGGGCGTCTCTCGTTGTGGAGCTACAGCGATCTCCACAGCAGAGCTTACCGCCCGCGATCAAATCGCCCTGAAACAGTTTGAGGCAGGAATAGCCAATCTGGGGAAATCTAGCAACTTGTCTAGCTCCTAGCTGCAGCATCCGATCGCGATGACACGCATATGCTCGTGACGCTGCTGATGAGACCTTCAATTTGCGCCGCTTCTTGGAAGAGCCCGCCCCCTACTTCCCAAGAAATGGCAAGAGGCGTCTGGACCCGAAATTTCAATTTTTTTGGCTCCCGCTCTCAATCGTATACTCCGCTCTCAATCAGGCGAAAACCCTGTTGTAGGCCGAAGCTTGTAGGTTTTGGAGAAAAGCAGCTCGGCCAGCGAGGGCCGAGATGAAAAAGTCTTGTATTTGCAGGGAGAGGGGACAGCAGAGAACGCTTGTGTCTGAGGACCCGAAGAGAAAGTCACAACACCCATCCGTCACGCAATTCAGATCACTCATCGAATCTCCGAAGAAACCAAGTAGAACCTCCCTGTTCCTCCACACTCTACCAATTGCAACCTCCGTAGATCCATGTCCCATCTTCAACCAGCTTTACTATGCTACGAGTATATCTAACAACCGTAGTTCAAGTAAAGACAGACCCGCACACCCGCACGTGGAAATTAAACCGAACTCCGTTGGTCACGTGGACCATCGAACACGTGATGAAAATGTTGGCAATCCACATCCCTTACCTTGCGTTGTATGGTACCGGCGCCAGTGCAGTGGTGAGTGGCCGCCAGAGGCGGCAACAAGAGCCTTTGGGCGGGGGCGGGGAGGGCATGGACCATGATCACACACTGCGGGCCTCCTGTCGAAACGACAACCGATAACATTTGTAACGATAAAACGACACCACCGGACAAAAACATTATTTTGGACCTCTCCGGGGGGGGCGGGGGG